ATATACTTACAGGCTTGATGGGAATGAACTAAGTCTGCAGACAGTGAGCTTAGTATATGATTGCCTAAATCTGCGTGTGTGAAAGTCAACCCCACTTAACTGATAGAGATGGATTCCCCTTAGATTGAAGAGCTCTAAACTTTGGGGAAACTGAATTTGAACCTAAAATTGAGCTGCACAACCACTTGTCATACTGGGCACAAGAAGGTTGGGAAGTGGTTTTAGGCTGCAGGAATGATGTCTGCTCAGTCTTGTGATGCAGAGCAGTGCTGATGGTCAATGTACTGCAGCTTAACTATGTGATCAAACCAAGTGCAGAACTAGTTTGTGAGAGACAGATGGTGGGTGGGTCCTGGAAAGTACTTTCTCAACCTAGATCTCTCTAGTGAGTGCAGTCTGTGTAGTGGCTCTGGCAGTTTTTCTCCAGTGTACAGGGTGGTGAAGGCAGATTTCTGTTCTCTCACAACCCTGATAGTTGTTCTCTCCCCAGTAAACGCTATTTCCTTTCCTGAGATGAATATTACATAGTCGGGGATCACTACTTCCTTTTTTCTCCTTCTCTTTTTCCTCCAATAACTCTGGATCTTGTTTACCAGTTTTAATCCATCCTGAAGATGTGGTACAAGCCTCAGGAATCCTGGAATTCCCACCTATGTAAATCAAAGCTGAGCAGAGGGAAGAAACCTGAATTAGTCCTTTCGTTGGGAAAGATTTTTCTCCAGCATGTGTGATGTTCCAGGCTATTGGCTGCATGTGATTTTCCAGCTGGATGAGGGAAAGGCTGGGATTATTGGAAATGGGAGCAGAGCCTTTAGGAGACAGGAGTCTCAGGTCTGCTGCACACACAACTGTTTTTTATTCTCTTGTTCCTCCAGCTTTGGCATTTGATGGGTTGAAACTTTGCGGAAGGTAACTGTGAAATAGAATTTACCTTGAGTAAGCATCCAAGCCTGTTACAGGGCTGCATGAACTAAAACAGGCTGTATGAAATGAACAGAACTAGCTGAAACTCTTTTTAGAGAGAGCTAGCTAGAGAGAACTCTGCAAGATAATGCTGAGCCTCCGCGGTGCCCAGTTTTTACCCATCACCATGTTAAGATGCGTCTGCTGTGAAGGAAGAGGAATTAATGCATGAGGAAGAAGTGCAGGAAGAGTTTGAAAACTACATCACTTTTGGTATGGTTGCAGGTCTGCAAAACAGTTTATGTATCAACATCTCAGAGTTAGTGAGTGAAGCAACTGATTGGACATGGGCTCCAAGTGAACATTAATCATAAAGTGCACCCAGCTTTTGGGGGGATTGAAGCAAACCTGGTGGTTTTGCATTGCCGTGGGACATATGATACATGTAGCTGGTTATCAGTGGTGACATTCAGCTGGTTAGAAGTGTCAGAGTCCACATTTGAGGTCCACTCAACACAGTTAATGGAGTCAAGAATGGAAATTATCTTTTCTAAGGTAAATGCTTGCATTTGGTCAAATGAACACACTCTAACTCCATTGATTTATATTGACTATATTCTCCTCACTGGCTCTGAATGGAACCAGAGCTCAGACAGCTCAGAAATGGGCATAACAATACAGACACCTAAAGCTAAGTGAGACGAGTCCCATCCTGGGTTTCACTTCACGTAGTAACCTCCTAAGACACTCTAACATGGTCTATTACACACCATGGAGAGAGACCTTAAAGTGGGGAAATAACATAGACATCAGGGACTCCACGCAGATGAGAAGCAAGTCCAGTCAATCTACACCACTTCTTGTTGACAGAAAATGGCCAAGTGTATGTGCAGAAGAAGCCCACCATGTACCCACCCTGGAACAGCACTTTTGATGCCCACATCAACAACGGCAGGGTCATGCACATTGTTGTCAAGGACAAAAGTGCTGAAATGGTTTCAGAGACCACGGTGGAACTCAAGGTGCTGGCGGAGAGGTGCAAAAAGAGCAATGGGAAGACAGAGATGTGGGTGAGCATCGCTATTTCCTCTTGTGGGATGTGGTGGGGTATGGGAATGCCTTGTGTCCGTGTCATGCTGTGACTGTAACCAGCAGGGCAGCAGGAACTGGTTGCTATCCAAGGAATAATGTTTTGAGCTTACTTGGGTATGACTTGAGGGGAAGATTTCAGTGCATGTCAGAATAAAAGAGCATGGCACATTACCTGCTGCTGTTATATCAACTGATATATCAACCTGGCAGGGGGGTTGGAACTAGATGATCTTAAGGTCCTTTCCAACCCTAACTGTTCTATGATCCTATATTGAAACATATGGCTTCTGTTAGCAAGGATTCTGGTTCAGGGAAGCCATGCCCACATATTAATCTTTTCTTACAAAACCTACTGGGGACAAATGGTTATATGAGTGGCTAAATGTGAATTATTTTACGTGCTCTGGGGAAACAGCTTTAAAAATCTAATCTAATGCCAAGTAACAGATTCACAGTTACCTGACTTCAGATTTATGTCAGAGGAACTCCTTTAAAATCACTGGAGTTATAGCAGAGTAGATTTGAAGTAACAGACTTCGTAAGGATGTTAAATGTAAGGTTGTGTTCCCTGGTAGCCCAAGCAAGAAAGTTCTTAATAGTAATCATTAACATGCAGTGTTCAGTAGCCATGCTGCGAATAACTATGAAGTCAAAAGGCATTTGGAGAGAAACTGATTTCCTTGTTTGCTTGTTTGTTTTATTTCTCATGCTAGGTCTCAGGCTGAGCTGCTTGGGTTATGAAGAGAGTAGAAAAGTCAAAAACCCTTCACTCATTTAGCAGATCTAAGAGCAAGATTTGGTAGAGATCTGCACATTTAACACATAGCCTGGAGTAACTGAGATGGGAATGGAGTTGAAAACCAGAAGGCTTTTGTCAGCACGACTCCATTCCCAGCCTTCAAAGCTATAGGAGGTAGTAGGCTGGTGAGAAGAGGGATCACATAGTCTGGGGTGCTGCTTGCTTGCAGCAAGGGTAACAGACCTGAGATCAAGTGGATTTGGGAGACCCTGATCCTGTTGTGTCCCAGCGTGGCCACAGCTCCTGAGATCTTGTCTCCATGCAGTCCCTGACACAACCTGGGAATGGTGGTCCCAGATACCCCATCCTGTAAGGGTCATGAGGAGAGAGAATAGCATTTTTCTCACTTTTCTGCACAAGGGCAATGTTTCTCCTGGAAGGTAGAGAGGTAACCTTGCTCAGGCTGTGCTGGACGTGGGTAAAGAAGTCACTCTTGTGATCCTCAGGCTGAAGAAATCCTTGAATGTAGGTCCTCTTGTACCGAGGCAAGTGGATCCAGATTTACAAAGGCATCCATGGACAAAGCTTCATATTAGTGGGGATTTCCAGCTCCAGTGGGAAGGCCCCAAAAATGCCTAAGTATGCTTGTAGCATCACTCACATTGACTGTGATTGAAGTTAGACTTGCAGAACCGAGTGACTAAAATATCTCAGCATCTTTTACCTGTCTGAAGTTGGTTGGTTATTTTGAGGTGCTCTCACTTCCCCATTGCAGAATCCAACGGGAACAAGTTTTCTCTATAGATAGTGCTGCACTGGTGTCTAAAAACCTATCTACAGCTTCTTTGATTTAGCCACATTTATCCTTGCTATCATGTCACTCCAAGTGTCTGATGAGAGGTGATCTAGCCTCCCTTCTCTATAGTTTCTCCTACCCTGCCTTGTTGCCCCACATTGGTATGAATAACCACAAAACTGTAATTAATTAGCATTCATCAATTCCCACTGGGAAAAGGACATAGCTTGAATCATCTGAAATGATTGTTGCTTCTTTGAATGTCTGATTAATGATTGCACTGGTCTCTTTTTCTTGTTTCTCACTTATCTCAACCAGCTAGAACTGAAACCTCAAGGGCGAATGCTGATGAATGCAAGATATTTCCTCGAAATAAGTGGCAAGTGATTTAGTTTGTTAATTGATAGATGTGATTTCTGGTTTTGTGGGGCAAAGCTGGTGTCTGTGTGAAAGTGGTGTCTATGTGATTACTGATTTATTCATAGGAACTATCATAATGGTTTGAAATGAACAGTCCAGAAAAGCAATTTTTATTGTATGGTGGGGGTGAAGACTGACTGTTCCTCTGTGATTTGCAAAGCAGATTTTTGGCTGATTTACCACTAAAATGGTAGATTTTCTCATTATGTTAAGCAAGACAGAATATATATGTATATAAGGAACCACAATGAAATTATTCTACTTGTATGTAAGGATGTAACACGTGCCGTGGTGTGCGTTATAGTGCAGATGTGAAGGTTGAGGTACAATTTTAGGATGACAACACCTAAGTATGTTTGTTGGTTGGACAGTTAAGATTAAGAGAAATGTAGGCAAAACAGGAAAAGAGCCTAGAGAGTGACTCATCTGATCACCTGCAGGTTTCTGCTGCAAGGTGAGCTGTGTCATTCACTGGGCTCCATTGACTGCTCCAGCTAAACCTCAAGGGACATGGCAGCATTTTAGTCACCCTGGGGAGGGGACACACAGTAGTTAATGTGTCTTCACAGGGAATCGAATCCCACCTGCAGAGTTCAATGTCTATGTGAAATACATTTTGCTTTGTGGAAAAAAATGGGTTGCAATCCCAATGCTCAATCTTATTGTCCTGTCTTTGATGCCAAAACTCTCACGCCCTCAGATGTGGATGAAGCTACAAGGTGTAGATACCTAGAAGGACCTCCTATTCATAGAAACATAGATGTACTGAAAGCAGCTAATAGCATGTCCATACTGGTATTTTCTCCATCCCTTAATATAGAATAGACTATTGTTGCCTCCTTGTATGTTATGTCAGAGAGGCCAAAGCATAGAAAACACAAATTGTCTTTGTATTACAAATAGCAAGATCAGCATCAGATCACACAGGGGGCCTGTTTCCACAGAATACCTGTGAAACTTGCTGTGCAATGTGTGAGTAAAAGGAAATAGAGATTGAGTGAGATAAAGCGTGCATATCTGTATTTGTAGGCACAAGCACACTTATAAGTGCATGTGTGTATATAGATGCGTGTGGCAGCCAGAATTGGTTCGGTTACTGTTCTAAAAAGGTTAAATGTGAACTGTGAATAATGGCACAGACACAGCCAACAGCAAAGCAACTGTTGGCATGGAAAAAATAACAGGATAAAAATATCCTATGAACATACATAGGTGCTTACACACATGTAAGCAAAATGGATTCAGTTAAATACCCATATATATTATATACACACGTTTGTGCATATATAGGTAATTATTAATGTTTATGCAATTTCATCTGTTTTAGGGCATGGATCTTCAGTGCTATACAAAGTTAGAAGTTTATGTTTAACTGCAAATTACCTCTCCTTGGGAAATTTCTGTCTACATTTCAAAAGCAGCATTATGAATATTCAGGGAAGCCCAGGGTCCCAAGTTTAAAGTCATTTTAGTGGCCTTGTAGGAATGGTAGATAAAAACCCATCTGAACAAGCCTTTCTGGGTTTCGGAAAATGGTATTTCTTAAAAATACTCATTTCTATCAGTGAATCATCAGCTTCAGTCACTCAGTGTTTTGGTAGCTGCATTATCAGACAGAAATCTTCTGTTTCCTTTCCCCCAGATGCAAAGGACCTGGCTGACTGTGAGACTGAAGCCTTCTCCTTGCACCAGCGCAGGGGAGCCATCAAACAGGCCAAAATCCATAATGTCAAGTGTCATGAATTCACAGCCACCTTCTTTCCACAACCCACCTTCTGTTCTGTCTGTCACGAGTTTGTTTGGTAAATGAAAATAGATTGATGCCTTTTCTCCTTTCAACCCTAGAGACCAGTTCTTGTGTAGATGTGGCACTTAGAGACATGGTTTAGTGGTGGACTTGGCAATGCTGGGTTAATGGTTGGACTTAATGATCTTAAAGGTCTTTTCCAACCTAAATGATACCATGATTCTGTGATTCTCCAGTGGCTATCTGGGCTTCAGCTGTCGGTATGGCAGCAGGATGATACCCTTGACATCTTGCCTGTAAAGTTACTGCATCACTTCCAGGATGTGGTTCACAGTTCTAATTCCAACTGTGAAAGTTCCCTTAATTTTTTAGTATGGAGACAGGCTGAGAACATTGGGGCTGTTCAGCGTGGAGAAGAGAAGCTGCTGGAGACCTCAGAGCAGCTTCCAGTGTCTGAAGGGGGCTACAAGGATGCTGGAGAGGGACTCTTCATCAGGGACTGAAGTGATAGGACAAGGGGTGATGGGTTCATACTGAAACAGGGGAAGTTCAGGTCAGAGATAAGGAAGAAGTTCTTCACTGTGAGGGTGCTGAGGTGCTGGCACAGGGTTGCCCAGAGAAGTGGTAAATGCTCCATCCCTGGCAGTGTTCAAGGCCAGGCTGGACAGAGCCTTGGGTGACATGGTCTAGTGTGAGGTGTACCTGCCACTGGCAGGGGGTTGGAACTGGATGATCTTAAGGTCCTTTCCAACCCAAATAATTCTATTATTCTATGATCTTTGGCCAAATGCACAGACATTTCTCGTCAGCCCAGTTTGCTCTATGGGTGCTGTGAAATTCAGGATGTGACTAGGTGCTAAAAAGGCTGTGAAAACCGCAGAGAATCACTCCTCAGTTACATTGAACGAAGATATTTAAGTTAGAGAAGCTCTACAAAGACTGATAAAAAGCTAAGCTGTTTTATTCTGTTTCTTTTATAAACGTTGCTTTGTTTTCTTCCATCAAGGCTTTCAGACAATTCAGCATTAACCATTTCTCTGTTTCTTTCAGGGGACTGAATAAACAAGGCTATCAATGTAGACGTAAGAAACTTTTCTGATGTTACTATCATTATTTACTTCTTCCTTTCTTAAGGAATGTTTTATTAACACCATGACACACTTGTTCTTTCAGAATGTAATGCTGCCATTCATAAGAAGTGCATTGATAAAGTAATAGCCAAATGTACAGGATCAGCAGTCAATAGCAGAGAAACAATGGTATGTATTATTATTTGGCTGCTTTTAATAAACCTTGAGTGTTGTTCAGATCTCTCCTACATCGCTGTAAGGTGACTTCCTATGAAGCAAAAGGTGCTGTTGAACTAAAAGCTCTGTGATCTGCTCTGTGACCTTTGTTTTTTACATTCCCAGTGGTTTCATTACCTCCTACTTGTGATTTACTCAAATGCAGCTGCTGAATAAGCAGTTGCTGAATCAGGACTGACATTTGTCTAAAGTATGAAGTATAGCCCAGGGGGAAGTCGTGGACATGAGATGGAGATTTACTGGGGGAAATTATCCATTCCCTGATGTTAGACAAGACATTATGTTGAATTTTCAGAGCAGTACTTTAACATCCCACTCTGGGTTATCTGAGATTTCCAAGCAGTCAGTGGAAGATCTGGCATCTCCACTATTATTTGTTTTGTTGTCTCATATCAGTTTATTATGAACACTCTTTTTTGGTAGCCAAAAATAAAACTTGAACTCTTGATAGGACCATTCCCTTTTTCTTAACTGTGTCCCCCAGCTTCTGTTTCCTTCCACTCCTACCCTGGCTCCTGTTCTCCTACAGTCTTTAGAGATGAGATTCATCTCATTTGTCTTCTGACATCTCCAGGGTAGATGTATCCAACTTTGCCACCACCTTTGACTCCCAATGTACTTAAAGAAGAGAAATAGGCTCTTCCAAGGAGTGATTCATGACAACAAACACAGACATCCTCTTCAGGAGAGGATGAGTAAGTTTTAGAAGTGCCACTGTTTTTCCATCGGACATTCAGGGAGTCTGGGTGCATAGGTGAGATGCAAGCAGCTATCTGGTCAGGTAAATCAAGCCCAGGGATGAAATCATCCAGTTCCCACTGAATTGTAGTTATTATTTGGCTTTGTATGTCTGAATGATAGTTGACCATCTTCTTGATGGTTATACCCAAGGATAAAGGGGCAATAGACATCCCATCTTCTGTGGTACAAGTTCGAGGCCAGGTCAGATGTGGCTTTGAGCAACCTGATCTAGTGGAAGGTGTCCCTGCCCATGGAAGAGGTTTGGAACTAGATGAGCTTTAAGGTCCTTTCCAACCCAAACCATTCTATGATAAGTCTGGTTTTCCATGCAGAGCTGAGGTGAAGAGGACTGAACTGCCAACATGGCTTTTCTCTTGCAGTTCCATAAAGAGCGAATGCCTCATCGCTTCAAAGTCTACAACTACAAGAGCCCAACGTTCTGTGAGCACTGTGGCACGCTCCTCTGGGGCCTTGCACGGCAAGGACTGAAGTGTGATGGTGAGTCCCTAACGTGTGTGGCACAACCTGAGCATGGGAGTGGGCCTTTATCTTTAGAGGGTTGCAATCTGAAGAGCCAAATCTCATTTATCACACCTCCCTACATGACCTGTATGAGATGGCATCCGGGGTCGTGAAGGAGTGGTCAAGAGGACCATCCTTCGAGGAGGATCATTCTTCCAGGAGGACAATTGTCAGTATAAACATAAGTGTTCCATGAGACTGAAGAGTCTCTTCCCAAAGAGGCAAAGAACATCTCGGTGACACTGCTGACCTTCCAACATCACTCCTAGTATCAACTAGCATGTTCTATTTGCACTATCAGACAAATCCAAGACACTTCATCTTCATAATCCTATGCCAATGGGGAGATCCTGTGATTATGGTTTATCTCTGAGCTGATGTACTAGAGTTTTGGCAACCTGTAGCTGCAAAGGCTGATGGATGTGGAAATGCAACCTTTTGCCCATAGGGAAATATAAAAACCTTTGTCTTCACAGAGTACCAAATAAAACGATCTGAGTGCCATTTCATGAGACATAAATTGTGCTCAGGCTTCGAGCTGTTTATGTGGTTGATCTCTGCCCTTGGCCATCAGCAGCACGTGCTCCTGCCCAGCCTGATGTCAAAGCCTTTACAGCCTGACTATCTTTTGTTGTTCTGACACCTCTTGTTCTCTCTTTCAGCATGTGGCATGAACGTCCATCACAAGTGCCAGACAAAAGTGGCAAACCTTTGTGGAGTAAACCAGAAACTAATGGCTGAAGCTCTAGCAATGATAGGGAGCACCCAGCAGGTGAATACTTTAAGCCTCGAGTGACCTGGAGGAAGGAGAATCAGTTGTTCTATGTTTGTCTCACTGCAAGAAATTGGGGCATTGAGTGGAGCACATCTCACAGAAGGCTGCGGGTTCCTCTATGTAATCAAACCCCTGAATGTTAGGTATAGAGATGCTTTTCTCATACCAAAGACCTGTTCTAGATCTTGGCTTCTATGACAGTCACAGTTGAGAGAAGCCACAGTGTCCATAAGATCAGAACTAGAAGAGGTAGATTGAGATGAGCTCTTGGGCAGAAGCTCTTCCCTGGGAGGGTGCTGAGGCGCTGGCACAGGGTGCCCAGAGAAGCTGTGGCTGCCCCATCCCTGGCAGTGTTCAAGGCCAGGGTGGACACAGGGGCTTGGAGCAACCTGCTCTAGTGGAAGGTGTCCCTGCCCGTGGCAGGGGTTGGAACTGGGTGAGCTTTAAGGTCCCTTCCAACACAAACCAGTCTGGGATTCTACGAACATGACACATGGCTCAAAATGTCAAAACACAACATTTGCTGTTTTCTGCAATCCAGGCTCGCTGTCAGCGTGACACTGAACAGATCTCCAGGGATGGACCTCTTGAAATTGGCTTCCCAGTTCCTGTGAAGGATGTAACACCGCTTCAGGCATTGCCAGCATCTACTACAGGAAAAAAAGGTGATATGGGGCAGCAGGCCTTGTTAGCTTTTTGCTTGGTACATGGTCAGGGGGAGGTGACAAAGGAATTTATTAGCCAAAGAATCTTTCATGCATCTTTCCAGCCTAGAGCAGGACATAGCCTTTCTCATCTCAGGATATCCATAACTCTTCCCAGCCACATGACTTGGGTATGGCAGATAGGATCCCAGCCTGGTTCCTTCTCTATAAACCAGCACTTCCCCCATGCCATCCAACCTCTGGTGACATGAAACACCAATCTCCACTCATTCAGCTAAGCCCTAAACTCTCTTTCTGAGCTAGTACTTGAGCACACCTCATATCTAGACTAGCAAAAATGTGTTTATTCCCTCCTGGGGACTCATAAACTCTAAAATCTGAAAACTTCAAAGAGAAACCAAGCTCTAAAGAGGAGACTGGGAGTCCTTCTGATTGCCATGGCAGTTCTCTTTCTGATTTCATATTTTTGGGTATGGGTTGGCATCCAGTAGCTTTGAAAACCATTGACAGATGCCCACTTCACGCAGGAGCTGATCTTGGTCTCATGAGCCTCTTTGTTACAAGAACAGATGTTTAGGAGGGTGAATGAGAGATCAGGGAGGAGCAGTCATTAATAGACCTTGGACAAAGCTACTTGAGGGCGCAGGGTAGCCCCCAGTACCTTGGGGCCTCAAACAAAACTTAAGGTCTCCTGGGAAGACCCCTTGTTTGTCTGCTTTGTGCTTAAGCCACAGAACTCTGGATATTAGGAGCAAAAATGCCACCACCTTTCATCAGACCCATGTGGCCCTCTTAAAGGGTCATTTCAGGACCCCTCCACCTTCATGGTTCCCCACCGAGCACTGAACTGTGACTGCAGCAGTCCTATGATGGCACTGACACAATGTTTTCTGGCCTCTCACAAGCTATAAAATGCATCTACCACAAAGTGGAGGGAGAAAGAAGAGTACAGGTGAATCAGTACTGAAACCTAGCAAGGAATGGGACAGCAAGCCTTCAGCTGCAACCCCAACCAAAGGTCAAACTGAGAGCCCAGCCCCAGCATCATCCACTTTCTCAATGCAAGATAATACTATCCTGTGTGGAGATAATATCCTGGAAACTGAACCTAGAGCAACATGTCAGAGGGCACTGATTAAAGCATGGCAGAGCTGCTTTATACCAGTGCTCTGGGTTTGATACTGTGCAGCACCACGCTACCGAACCTCAGAGGCTGCTTTTGGTACCATCTGAGCTCAGTGGACAGTGCACTTTAGCCCCTAAGGGGGAAATAAATGATGTCCCCATCTGTGTTTATTTTCTTTCATTTCTACCAGTAGGACTGGCTACACTGATACGAATCAGTAAAAGCCCCAGATGGTTTCACATCTGGTTTACATGTGGTTCTATTTGTCAGCTGGGTAGTGTTCTGACTGCTCAGCAATTCAGAACAGTACAGAAATGTGCATTTCAGTGCATGGGAGAAATCCAGTAAGGGACAGGAGCTCTTAGAAGTTCACATATATCCAAGTGAATAGAGTAGTGAAGAAAATTTGAGTAGTTCCACTCCAGGACAGCTGGAATACTTGATCAGAGCTTCACATCTATAGCAGGGAGCTAGTATGAAAATGCTGTCCCATCTTTTCATCTCGCTTTGGCAAGGGTCTTGAAAAGACCTTGGAAAAATGGGACCACATTGTGACAGCAATGAGCAAGAAGGACTGAAGAGCACAGGCAGCCAGAAACGAATGGTTTGGTTGTGTTTTGCTGCCATAAAACAAAAAGTCAAATGAAGGGGTTTGTAAAGTGGGAGTAATGCCACTGAAGAAGGTGGAGTTACTCTGGAGTAAACCTTCCTCCAGACAGACAGAAAGCAATGCGGGAGCAGAGCCAATCTATGTAGTAGATGTGGCCACCATCTATTGGAAATACCCTTTTGACACCAACTAAACACAATACCTGTAAGTGTTCTGGGGATTTACTGCGCATTTTCAGGGTTTAATTTGAATGCTTTGATGTGTGTTGTAGAGCCACAAGGCGTCTCCTGGGAATCTCCAGTGGAGGGCACAATGAAAGGGGAGTCTCTGATAGAGTCAGACTCAGGAGAACAGCCCCAGGAGCAGCAAGAGCACCAAGTGCAGCTAAAACTAACCATTGAGGATTTTGTCCTGCACAAGATGCTGGGAAAGGGCAGCTTTGGCAAGGTAAGCATCACGGGACTGAGGCACCACTGAGTACATCTGTATATTGCTTCTTATGGCACTAAATAGCATGTGGTTTGAAGGCCACGCAGGAAAAAACATCTCCAAGCCTTCAAAAAACCCTTGGTTTGGCATGGCTGACTCTTGAACTCAGTCTTCTTCCCTAAGACAAAGATCTTCCCTCTGTCCCATTAGTTGCTGTTTCATGAGTGCCAGTGACAGGAGAGGATAGCAGCCAAATAAAGCTGCACCTTCCCCTTCTGTGCAGGTTGATGGGGTCTTGACATCCATAGAGAGCTGGTGGGGATGATCTCTCTGCTGTCCCTCTCCTGCCAGCTTAGCTGAGCAAGTTCAGAGGGAGGTGGAAGCATTTGCTGGAAAGCTGAGTGTGGATCACCTCTCCTCTCCGGAGCAGCTGGGAATGCTAACTGCTCTTTCCCAGCTCCATTTTCCCATCCATTTTGCACTGGAGCATAAAGTAAACTTTGCAACAGCCAAGAATTTGTACTTGTGGAACAAGAACCACCTGTTTTCAATGGATTCATTAATCTTGATGAACTGTGGGTTGTTCCTCCTCCTCCCAGATGTCCCCTGGAAAGGGACTCGTGTTATTTAGTGCCAGCATAAAGCTGCATGAAGCAGTTTCAGATGAACTCACCATTGTATTTTCACAGCCAGTAAGGAGAGTGTGTATCATTATGTATCACATTGCTCATATCTCACATCTTTCCGAGGTAGAAACTGTGCCTTAAAGAAGGACTGCTTTTTGCCTACTAAGTGAGCTGGAGCAATTGCTTCAGCCAGTTCTTAAACTGGCTTAAATTGCTTTCACCAGTTCTTAAACTGGTGAGATGTTTGCTGTTGGCTGTCCATATTTGAAAACACTTAGCATGGCTACAGTTTGCATGGGCAGCAGAGCTGAGATATCTCATGTAGATCTAAGCCAAAATACTTCAAAATCCACATCCCAGACTAACCTGGACTCAAGACAATACATGTCATAGAAGCATTCTCATTGGAAGGAACCTCTTGGATGTCATCTAATCCAACCTACTGCTCAAAACAAGTTTAATCAGATGAGTTTGCTCAGGAGTTTGTCTGGTCAAGTCTTGAATACCTCCACTGAAGCAGATTCTGTACCTGGCTTTAGCTCTCTCTGTTAACATTGACTCTGCAAGCCTCTGCATCTCTCTGCAGTGCACCATGTGGGTGTGGATGGGCTATTTCATGCCCTTTTGCAACAAACCTCACCCACAAGTTTCCTGTGTAGGTGCTGCTCCTGGTCCCCTTATTTGCTTGGAGCAAGATTCACTTCCCCATACAGGGTGTGCAGATCTCAGTGCCTGAGGGTTCTCTCCAGCTCTGCATAGACGAGGAAGGTTGAGGAAACTCGCTCTGCATGAGGTCTAGCATTGTCCACTGCTCCTTGAAAGTCCCAGCACAAGTCACAAATATACTGAGTTCCTCAGGAGAGCAGTGCCCTGCACAAAAAGAGGGGTAAAAAGGGTGCCTGCAGCATCAGCATTGTTAGTGTGTCTGGTTATTCAGTGCAAAGACTGAGGGAGGCTCTAAGCTCTGCTCCCTGTCTGGTGCTACAAAGTGAAATGCAGCAGCAGCCAAAAGGGTAAATAAGGCTTTTGTCAGAGGTAGACCATGTCTGAGCTTACTCAGTAAATAGTGTCTGGTAGAGAACTTCAAAGACCTCTTTGATGGGTCTCATGTATTTATTCAGTCTATGAGAAATGGTGTCGACAGGCAGCATAAAGGCACTGCCTTCCAGAGGAAACTTCTTTGTGGTCTCTAGGAACCCCTTCTCTGCTGCTCCATGTCTCATTTTCCCTGCCCATAAAAAGAGACAGAGGACCTAACTCCTCTGGGATGTATTTGCTATTCTCAGAGAAGAAGTTGTGCAGAAGCATGGAGGACTCAGCCCTTTTTCTCAGGCCTCCTGCTAACTGGGAGGAAGAGGAGAAAGTTGCATCTGATACAGATCATTCTAACTATGGTGGACATCAGTTTACACCTGCTGAGGATCTGGTGCAGGGCATTTGCATTTCACATGTTGACAAAGCAAGATTCTATGTTTTGTTATTTGAAGTCATAAAAAAGGAAATGTATCTGATGAACATTTGCATAAAGTTGGTTTCTGTTATCAGAATTGTTTGCTCTCTGACATGTCCTGTCCATACGGGCATGTAGCCCCTGCTCTTGTATTCACCAGGGCCTCCCGAGGGTTCAGCTTCGTAAAGCTATTCTGGGTGTGGGGAACTAACTCAAAGTCTACACAATCTTAATGACAGAATTGGGCCTTAAACATCAGCTTTTTTAAGGTCTACCCTAGTGAATTCCTTGTAGCTCAGCTCCCGTCCTTACGTGGTTGTGTTGCCAGCTCTGAGAGATGAGCATCTCTCTTTCTGAGCAGCTATTTCCACCATAGGTGTTCCTCGCTGAGCTGAAGAGCACAGACCAGTATTTTGCTGTGAAAGCCCTGAAGAAGGATGTGGTGCTGATGGATGATGACGTTGAATGTACGATGGTGGAGAAGAGAGTCCTCTCCTTAGCTTGGGAGCACCCATTCCTGACTCATGTCTTCTGTACGTTCCAGACCAAGGTAAGACAAGGATCTACCACCTATCTCCAAGTGCAGAGGATGCTTTGCAGAACTATGGATGCTTGGTGAACTGCTTAAGTCTGCTAGATGTTAGGGAACGGCTTGGATATGAAGTGGTGGTAAAGGAAGGGAGCTTGAGGTTAACCATTTGGGAAGTGGCTCCAGAAATTTCACCTGCCTTCCCCACATTAACGTGGGTGCAGAGTGGGGCATTTGAGGGTTATGGCATCCAGGACTGACCAAGGTAGCTATGCAGAGACCTGCTGTTAAAGTCTGTCTCCTGGTACCCTGGGCAGAGGACATATAAAGGCCACGTCCACAGCCAGGGTGCAGATATGGCCACACTGGAGTTATCTGAACATCCTGGACCATGAAGCAGTATGCTGTAGTGAGTCAAAGCTAACTCAAGAAACTCTGGTTATGAAGAATAAACAAACTGTCATTCAATTTGGGAATCTTCTTTGCCCCCACTTACTGTTAAATTGCATCAGACTCTTCCTAACTCATGCAGGACCACTGGTGGTAAAAACTGAGGCTCAGAGGGGCAGCACAAAGCATCTTCACCTGAAATCCCACTTAGGACTCCAAAGCAAAATTAAAGTCACATTTAAGTCATATGTGTATCTTCGTGGCTCTATGTGACAACACACCACCAATAGATCAGCTTTCCAGAGCCTTTCCTACAGTGACAATTAATCACCTTAATGCTAAAGCACACACAAGGCATAGGAAAAAACAATGGAAAGAAATCTGAGAGATTGTCTTATCTGTCCAAGCTACTCCTGAGGGATGCTTGCTGTCCCTGAGCTCAGATTCAGAGCAACACCACTCCCTCAAGGCTGTTTGTTCAGGGGTTTGCAAGGATGCTCCCAGTCCCTGTGCAGTCCCAGACTTTAGTGGCACAAAACAGTGCTCGGTGTGAGGTTAGGACCTGCTTAGCAAGAGGCTCCCTGCTTTTGCAGGGTCAGGAGGAACAAATATAACCCCTGCAGTATATCACAGTTGCCCATGGGATGCAGCACCTGTTTAAAGACAGATTAAATTTATAGCAGGGAATGTTTGAGAAGTGCCATAGGCGATGTGTCACTGAGCCCAGGCATTCAGGTTTAACCCCTTCAGGATTGTCAGTGAGGACAGCATGACTGGGAATGGATCCTTGCCTGGAAAGGAGAGGAATTAATTCCCCCTTTTGGGGGCCTAGATTTCAAGGGAAAATATAAATGACCCAATTCCTAAAGCAAAGGAAACCAAGACTTAATTAAAAAGACAAAACATCACAACAGTCACAGCTCTACAAGGGATCTTATACTCCAGGGAGAGCTGCCTGTGCTACCTGTAACTCCAGGTTCCTAAAGGGATTTGGGCTGATGCCACTGCATGCAGCAGCAGAACTGTGTTGTCTGTGGTCCAGCCTGGGCCAACACTGGTCTGGAGGCTGGAGGTCAGGTTGGGGATGGATACAGCAGTGGCAGTCTGCACCTCTGCATGCAAGTGTCCACATCCCTCGTGAGACCAAAAGGATGAGAGACCAAATGGAACCAGATGGGATTTACTGACCATTTAAAGGGGTGACTGTGCTTCCAGTGGTGGCTCAGGCAAGGAAAACCTGCGGGATGGAAAAGCAACGAGTGCCTGAAAAACTCATGGGTGCCAGGCTCAAAAACCCAAGTGATCTTTGCCTACACTGTCTCATGGGCAGCGTCACAGTATTGCCCTCTTGACATATAGAAAGAACCTCCATCCATCTCATCCCAAGTCATCATTGCCACTTTAAAGTTATTTGATCTTTCCATCTTGCCCTCAAGTTCACAGAGAAGCTGGATTGTGGCTGCCCAGGCCAAAGCCTCTCTGGGTTTGATTGATTTCTAGCTTATGTTTTTCTCCTCTGACCTTCAGAAGCCAAGAGGCGATTGCTCAATGCATGAAAGTTGTTCAGAGCAGGGGAGCTGTGACAAGCCATGGACAAGGCTTTCATGGCTCAAAGGACATGCTTCAGTTGTAATATCTTTTAGAACAATCATTTTAGAAGCTAGGGCACTGCTGTGTACAACCCCTCTCTGGACTTTAACGCTGAAAACTTCAGTTTTCACTTGGAACATTGGTATTAAGGTTTCACTGGATAGATAAGTGGTTTCAAACAGAAACGCATGTGTCAATGGCCTTCTGAAGCCCTAATGCTTTGTTTGGCTTGGAAAGTTTCTGAGCTGCTTCATGTACTGAATGCATCTGCAAAGGACAGGAAACCAGGACTATTCTTATGCAAGAACCTCAGTAGTGCCCGTGTCTCCAGAGGGGAAAAAAAGCCATATAATCTGTTGTCAATTCTCTGGGATGAGTTTCTTCCTGGCCTCAACCCAGGTTATCAGTGAATGCTCAGGTATATAAAGCTTGATAGCCCTTTCGTAGGCACCAGGCACCTAATGCTCCTTTGTATCCCTGCATAGGCTGAACAATCAGTGCATTTGAAACTCAGAACACTTGTCATGTTTGGCTACATTAGAATAAATTCAAGCACGTGGTCTTTATTTCCCAATCTGATTTTGAACTTGACTGTTTTATTTCACTGCAGTCATCTTTGTATCCACATATTCAGCTGACATAATTATATGGTGTGAATTTTAACAGCAAGCTCAGAGCACTAGTTTGTTGTATTAGATTTAGAGGAACACTGTTACGTTCGAGAGGAGGAAAAACATGATTATAATTCCATGAAATCCCAAAACCAGTAATGCCAAAACAGCAGGTAGCAACCCAGTGTTTCTGGTTTATTCTTGGTTTTGCATTTCACTGATCTTCTGTGATAAAAATAGGCTTTCCCTTTTGGAAAGTCACTTTTGTTTCTGCTTCTTTACTTCATTGACCAAGCTTTTATTCACACCCTTTACCTAAATGCAAATTAAATCTTGAGGCATTTTGGCTTGTAGCACAGAAAAGCACCAGAAAAGACTATCTCAACCCAAAACAGAAGTAGTCTTTATTGCAATTTAAAAGCAAATCTTACAGAAACAGGTTTTTTCTGCTTACTAATGTATTCTGTCTTTTCAAAGTCCTCGTGGTGAGCCATTTTTGCACGCTCTGTGGTTTTAATGTGCTTAAGACTGACTTCAAAATCTCTTACATTGGCAGGAAAGAGAAAAGGATTGTGTGATCCAGGTTTAAAAATTCTTAGGCTCCGAAGTGCTATCCATGAGCATTTTTAGGAAATTTCCTATTGAAATATCTCCTCAGAGAAAACTACAATTCCTGCAAAGTTTTCCAAGGGGAATTTCAGTTTTCTGCTATCTTTTTCTTGCTATTAGAGTGACAGGGATGAATTATTTGACCCGAATCACAGCATGTGGGCTGGCACATGTGTGTTTCACACCTATTTGATGTTCAATTCCACTGCATAGTTGTGCCATAGACCTTATGAGCAGCCCTGGATTAGGCCCCCATACCCTCCCCAGGCAATGCAGGATCCTCTCTGACCACAGCATGGCTGCAGGACATTAATGCATTGCTGGAGAAGTCATCCTGCAGGGCAGCAAAGTTACAAGTCTTTATTTCCACCACCATTGAACCACTGAACCACAACAAGGCATTGGATGGACTAAACAAAACATGGTGTGCTGGTGGCAAAATGAGGTGTCCTGTGAGGTCAGACCAGATGTCCTTATAGTCAGCATCCCTGGCATTGACCAGGAGGATGGCTAGATGAGAGAGTACAGAGCAGTGCAGTGATTTTTCTCTTGTACAAATCATCCTTGTCCCTTGCACAAACCATCCCATGTCTCGATGTTTGTTTGGGAGACATCATCTGGAAGCTACAAGGTTTTTAGGTTTCCATCCTCCTAGTATTTTGGGGTGACACATCAGCTTGGAAACATCTGATTCAAGGCCAGCTGATGGGAAAGTTGGGGAAGAATTGGGATGTTTAGCACAGCTTTGAGGATTTTGCCTCTTGCAACCAGCAGGCAGGAAAACTGGCAAAGTCTCATTCAATCCTGGCCAAAATCTCACCTTCGTTCAGCAGAAATAGTGTCTCAGGAGAGCTTTGGGATTTCAACAAGGTTCTGCCAGAGGAGGTGTGAGCAGCTGTAATTATAATATCAAACACAGGAAGTCTTCTGGGACACTTCTGGGTTGTGTCAGCCCATGTGATGGGAACAGCTGGAGTATTTTGGCAAGGAAAAGCTCACAAGCATGGGGTTAAGTCATAGCTGATACTCAATACATATTGTCATTGCCTTCCTGTTGTCCAGCTCAAAGGAAAATCAGTCCAAAATGTGTCCAGCTTTGCCTGAAATGTCTAAAAGTCTGCTCTTTGTCCTGGAAAAAGCTGACTTCTTAAAACAAAAACATTTACGTTTTCCCCCCTATTTTTCAGCTGATAAAATACTCGTTTCCTAAATCCGACTTTTTGTTTAGGTTTTGGTCTGGTCATCCCAAATCTTTACAGAAAGTTGTTTCTAGCCTTGAGGAAACTAATCCCTTTCCACGATCCCACCACTTTTACTGATAGGGAAGCTGATTGTAACTCAGTTTATCACTTTAAGTGATATATTCTGCCTGCTCAGAGCTGTGGGGAAGGGTCCTGGGATCTCAGAACTCAAGTGAAAGGAGCTATTTCCAGCCATTGTCTGCACCTTTATGTATACATATGTATTCTTACATATGTGTATCCATATATTCATGTGCTTTGTAGCAAGTAGATGGACACACAAATGAGCAGTTTAACATTCAGTCAGAAACGCTAACAGTGAAAAGATTAGAACAGTAAAACAAACCATGAGATCAGGGACTGGACTGAATTATTTGACAGCTGTAAGAAATGCTGCCATCTCCAGAAGATAGACTGATATTACACAAGAGCTACAAAAACATCTTTAAATCAGAGAACAAAATTAACACTGGAGTTTAATCTGTAACAAATTGGCTTTGCTCATCCCCATGGTGCAAGCAGCAATGTAAATGCCTCCTATGGTCACCTACTAGGGAGGAGTGACCCTGTGTTATCTCTTCCCCCTGGGAGCAGACACAGTGAGAAGCACACGCTTTGCTTGCTTTCCCACTGCATGGGAACACTCACTGAGTGATGTGGTGGAAAAGACTGAGAGGCCTTTGGCTTCCATCTATCCCATGAAATGAAATAGATCGGAAGCTGAAGGGGGCTACAAGGATGCTTGAGAGTGACTCTGCATCAGGGACTGTAGTGATGGGACAAGGGGTGATGGATTTAAACCGAAATAGGGGAAGTTCAGGTTAAATATAAAGAAGTTCTTCCCTGTGAGGGTGCTGAGGCGCTGGCACAGGGTGCCCGGAGAAGCTGTGGCTGCCCCATCCCTGGCAGTGTTCAAGTCCAGGTTGGACACAGGGGCTTGGGTGACATGGTCTAATGTGAGCTGTCCCTGCCCATGGCAGGGAGTTGGAACTGAAAGATCTTAAGGTCCTTTCGAACCCTGACCATGCTATGATTCTATGCTATGCTATGCTATGGATGAGCACCCAGATGGGGCTGGGCATGAAAATGTGAGACAAAAATCAGGAGCAGGAATTTTGTGGTGTCAAACCTTTGTCTTGGCAAGGGCCAGTCTAATTCAGTGAGCATGAAGTGGGGTTAGGTCACTTAATCTGCACTGAGGACCCTTCTCCATGTGGATTCAATTGTCAGGAGAACTGCTCTAAGTAAGGATAAAGCCACACTGTCCTGCAGCATTAATGTTCCCATATTTGTTCCCATATTTATCCTTGAGGAAGCCCTGGGAAGAAGAAGTTTTTCCTTTCAGTAAATGGTGTTAAATGGAGTATTTGTATGTATGCAAGTGCTTTCATATGCAAAGAAAACAAAATCTGAAAATCTCAGCAGAAAAGTGCTCTGGAGGGCTTCCAGCTGGTTTAATGGTTTTAAGAGCTTGTTATAGGATGTACCTTCAAAAGATCAATTTAAATGCTGCCTGCTTTATACTCATTGTTTATAAAGTTGAAAGCATCTCTGATAGTGACTATTCATTCTCACAGCAGTTGCATGCAGAAGAGAAGCAGGTTGGTTTAACTCCATCCCTGCCGTGTCCTGGGGAGGCAGAGGGAGCAGGAAGCCCTGCAAAGAGGAGCCCAGCACAGGCACTGAGGGACTGGTGGGGCAAGAAATTGAGTACTTGCTGTAATCGAGTCTTTCAGCATCTGACAGGATTGACTTGATGAGGGAACAGTGTTATTTTGTGTGCAGGATGTGTATCTGTGTGTCTGACTGTGTTTTGTACATGATGTTGTATGGTTCTGCCGGCTGTAGGAGCAGTTCTTTATCCTCCCATAGAGAGGTTTGTGATTCTACCTCTACTGCAATGGAAGATGATCTAAAAGTAGGGAATGGCTGATAAATAAACGTCCTCAAGACAACTAGTGACAACTATCCTGGGGCAGTGTCCATTGCTGGGTGCAGGAAATGCCTTTACATTCCTCCTTCAGCTCTGTGGTTGTGAAAGATGGCCCCACACTCTGCCATGAGACCAGACTTGTCCTGTTCTGTCATGCGAGTCATGTGGAACCATAGCCAGAAGTTTGACTTGGGCATTTGCCACCTGAGGATGCTCCCATGGGTGGTCAGCAAGTTGTCTGTTGTCTGCACACAAGGCAGGCAGGTAGGGTGAAGGTGAGGGCCTCTTCCCAAGCCTCCTTCAAAGCTGTGTAGGTCTCTGCACTGAGGAACAGCATTCCTACTTGTTTGCTCAGCACCCCTGAGCTAGGACCATTGCAGGGAATAAGGGCATTACAAAGGTTTACCACTGTCTTGAGAAATACCCACTTAACCCACTCTCACCTGCTCCAGATGCTGACAGACTTCAGAGCCTCACAATAGCAGACAGGAGTCACAGGACAGGAGGAAGTGTAGGCTGGAGCCTGTCTGCAAACACGTCCTTCGTGCCATTCCAACCCTTCAACCTCTAGCACACAGTTGCCTTTTCAGTGGTTACAAGTATGGGTTTTGCCACTTCTCATTTTTAATGCGTTCTACAGGTCTCAGGCTTAGGAAGCTGTCTCCAACAATTTATTGCAGCTTCCCCTGCTTGATTATATCTTGCTACTCATAATGACGTACTTAGAGCAGGTTTTTTCCATGGGCCATTCCAGAGACCTGACCTTTGTAAAAAGCAAGAGGAACTTCCAAGTCCCACAGCAGAAAAATCAGAATGATGCTGTCTTTCTTTTATGTACCACTCTATAGCACCTGGTAGCCCATGAACTTCAGTATTAATCGTGCCTAAGTCAAGTTTGTTGTCTTCAGCTTCATTGCTTTAGACAGTTGAGCAATGGAGTTCATATAATGATCTTTGGATGTCAGTTAATCTGAGAGGTTGTCCACCTTTTATCTCCTCAGATGGCAGAAGGATGCTGCCGAAGTCCCCAGTTTCAAGTTAGAGCCGCCAGTTCAATTAAATAGGTGCATCAGTTGGTTGCTCAAATCCATGTGCAAGCAGAGCAGAAATGCTTGTTCAACTGAATAAACATGTATTTCAAGTTACACTTAAAGATGTGAGATAAGGTGTAGCCAAAATCAGTGGACTTTCTAGGGGAACCCAGGGGTTTTCTCTTTCCCATTCCACTGAAGCTGAATCTGGCTTGAAGATACATGAGATTTCTTCTGTCCCAGTGTGATACGTGTGGCTGCTGGTCTGTTGTTGGCTAAACCTCATCGCTTCCCTGAATACCTTCACAAAGAGCATCTGTTCAAGTGTTTCCCTGAGCAGGCTCCTGAAATTGCTTCCCAGATTTATGCATTTCTCTACTACTAAATTGCCCATCTCCATTTGGCCTTCTTACTTGCTCTAACTGATTTATGGGCACAGACCTCCACAGATGCAAGACCTTTGAGCTGAAAACCTGCACCCATTTGGTTTATTGGCACAGTTTGTATTTATTTCCTGGGAGGCCAGTTCTGGTCTTGTGCTTGTTGGATGACATGTGTGGTTTCCAGCCAGACGTCCATTTAAATAAGAGTACTGTAATTAAAAGGATCTGGCTAAGGAAATTGCACAGATTAGAGCAGACAGCTGTGATTTGAAAGGAACAAGCACTGTTGTTGTTTTAAATAGCCAGCTCTCGACTTGCTGCCAGAGATGCTTACATTAGGTCTTATGGATAAAAATCTTCCTTCAACTGTTAGAATATAAGTGAAGAGAACTCTATTTCCCCCTCCAAAATATGTGATGAGCAGTAGACAACAACGGGAAGATAGTAATCAACTTCAGCCTGGAGATGACTAACCTCAGATGCATACACACCAGAGAGAAGCTTTTGAGGATAAGAAATACTGCATTCATCTTATTTTATTCATGCATTAATCATAGAATCATAGAATGGTTTGGGTTGGAAAGGACCTTAAGATCATCTAGTTCCAACCCCTCTGCCATGGGCAGGGACATTTATGCACAAAAGCTGAGATTCCCAAAACAGACGTTTAAACTGGGAACATAACTCATTGCACAGATACTCTTCTTGCAGAAAAAAAGGTGCCACTCCTGTTTTTGTAGGTATAATTCAGTGTGGAAGGGATTGGTGTCCTGGGTTCAGCGCTTAAACCACGACAATTGGTCTGAATCAGCCTCCAGCTTCTGCAGGGACCTGGTGTTGAAGTTATGGCTGATGAAGACGCAAGGGGATCAGTGTGGTGTATACCAAGGATTGGGAAGCAAGCCTTGGTGATCAGTTCTGCTCTTTATTCAATATAGAATTCAATGGCATCCAGAAATGTGATTCATTCATGAATCTTCCCACTAGTGAGTTGCAACTTACCTTGTTTAATAGAGCCCATTTCAAGCTTGAAATCGAGCATGTGCTTAAAACAGATTGTTACATCTGGCCAGGGTCTTTGATAACTTGAAAGAGTCAGACTCAAAAAGATGTGCAGGAATTCAGGTAACACCAGCTTGAGATGGCTGAATGGGTTGGACAATGCTGGGCTGGGGACCAGAGGAGATCTGGGATTTATTTCTGCCTCTTCCACTGGTCTCCCAGGGAGCTTGTTCATCTGTCCTTGTGTTATACAAGCACTGTAGAGTCACTCATCCCCTTCTAGCGAGCCTTGAGATCTGCTGGTAAATATCAATGGCACTAACTGGTTATTAAGTGGATTTGCAATGTTTGCTGATGCCGTTTGTACAAATCAGAGTGGAGAGTGCCAGTGTGGGCTTAGAGAACAATGAGGAGAAGTGAAGAATCTGAAAAAGAAACTGCTTTCTTTCCAAAACCATCACAGTCATCTTTTCCTTCCTCTTTTTGAGTGCTTTCTGGGTGGGTTGTTTTTTGGCTTTTTATTTTTAGCTTACCCCTCCCCACCCCTTACTGTCATCTTGTCTCATTCTTTAGGAAAACCTCTTTTTCGTCATGGAATACCTCAATGGAGGAGACCTCATGTTCCATATCCAGAGTTGTCATAAGTTCGACCTTCCCAGAGCAACGTAAGATGTTATTATTACTTGCAGGTCACACACATTTGGTTGGGAGAAGCAAAGGCAGCAGCTGCAGATGCCAGTTGATTTTATTCCCAGCTCAGCTACTGTCTTGTAGAGGAAACCTTGGGCATATCATTTGACCTCTCTACACCCTACACAGCTGCAAAGAGGAGATAATGCTTGTGCTGGAAGTGGAATCACTCCCTATCCCATCTCTCTCAAAACTGAGCAAAACAGACGTGCAGTTCACCACCCCAACTCAACAACGGGCTTGGAGCAAGTCACTTCCTCTCCCTGTCTTCTTTCTCCTCCCACAGAAGGCTTTTTAGAGTCTATCCACACAGTTGATTTCAGTCAGACATAACCTTACTTTACATTCTTGGTCAACCAGGAAAGCTATTTCTGTCTGGAAGCGTTGCAGCTGCTGCTACACCCTCATCAGCATTGCATCTGCCTGCAGGCTTTTCCTTAAGCCTGCAAACCAGGGACCTCCTTCTGTCCCTTAGGCTGCCCTGCTTGCTGGATTAGTCCCCTTCCCAGAAGTGCAGTCCCTCAGAGAGGGACCATTCAATCCAGCTGAGACCTCACCTCTGGAAGTGCCTCCACCATAAAGGGCCCCAGCCATGCCTAATATCTTATATTCAGGGGAAGTTCAGGTTGGATATAAGGAAGAAGTTCTTCCCTGTGAGGGTGCTGAGGTGCTGGCACAAGTTGGCCAAAGTAGTAAATGCTCCATCCCTGGCAGTGTTCAAGGCCAGGTTGGACAGAGCTTTTGGGGACATGGCCTAGTGTGAGGTGTCCCTGCCCATGGCAGGGAGTTGGAACTGGATGATCTTAAGGTCCTTTCCAACCCTATCCGTTCTCTTTGTTGCACTCTTTGGGTTCTTACTCAGCCCATAATAGGAGGCCCAAATAATGACATCGTGGACCCAACCTTCACCCCAGGTGTGCCACCATCAAAGAAACCCCACAGATGCATTTTCAGCCATCTGTGGAACCAAATATCTTGTTCTTTACAACACAGGTGGCCTGTAGCCAAGCTGCAGGGCCTGCTTAAGCTGAGGTTCCCGCTCCAGTGATCAGAGGTGGAGCTATTGTTTGTTAGAAGTAATGGGATTTTCTCTTTTCCTCTTTAAGGTTCAAGGAGGGGGGAGGAAGGGGAAGAGATAAAACTTATTGAAAGTGCAAAAGGTAAATTTAAACAAAAAATGAATACACCAGTAGAAAATTAAAAATGTATTTAGATTTGATGAAAGTAAATAGAAGAATTAGAACAAATGAAAGGTGCTTTAAATCCTTCTGCAAGCAAAGGGTATTTTGAAAGTCAATATTGAAACCACACCAGGAATTAAATTTTTATTTAATAATTCAAAAACCCAAACCAAACCCTCATTTAAATCAGTGTTTAATTTGATGGTTTATTTCAAAAGCATTTGAATGTTCAGGATTAAGGGTCAATACATCGAAGACTGAGGAAGCAGAGCTGTACATCACTGGAGGAGTGCAGCATCCTGCGGTTACATTCCCTTCTGGAGAGCACATTCGTTGTGCTTCAGCCTTATGCTGCCTCTTTGCAGCAGGATGTGGTGCTGTGCTTCAGGCAGAAATGTGTTGAGAACAAAGATCTCAAGCTCAAAAAGACTCCAGAGAAAGGCCACCAAGCTGCTGGCTACTTCATGTCTCGGGTAAACTTTCAACAGCAAGTCATAAATCTGAGCTGCAAAGAGGTCTGTTTGACAAGACAAGGAGAATGCCTGTGGTCCCCACACCCAGATGCCCACCAGCCTGTCTATTGCTGAGATCACTCCACGTTTTGTGCTACTGAACATGGCAAATTATAGCTGCACTTTCAAGGTCTGAGGCATTAACTGCAATTCGCAGTTTGCAGCCTGGTGAATCACTAACTCACTGATTTACTCTGACTATGTAAATCAGGGCATAGACAGATACCATCAGGTCTGCTTTATTGCACTGGGGACCATAGCTTGAGGCAAGGAAGGGTAAGCAATAGGAGCTGGATGGTGGTTTTTTGCTGCACAGTTGATATGGAGACATCCTTGGCATTGAAGGACGTGTCCTCAGAGTCAGTTACATGTAAAAAGAAATGCAGGTAGCCGTGTAGTGTGCCTTTCAAATCCCTGAAGTTGAGTAGGCTCCAAGTGTCTACCAGTTCCCAAAGTGGTTTCAGTAGGAGTCTGGCTGCTAGCCATGTGGCATGCTTTTGGGAATCTCACATCATCCACCAGTTCCCTGTAAAACCCAGTTACACCAAGCCTTCCAGGGGCACTCCAAGCATTCTGTGACCTTAATGAAGGTTTTGGCTTATGTGGAGACAAAGCTTCCACCTTTTTGGGTCTGGTTGAAAATACCTGTTGGGCAGCATCCATTCTAATCTGTGCCTTCTGTCACTCAGGTTTTATGCTGCTGAAATCATATGTGGACTCCAGTTCCTCCATTCCAAAGGCATAATATACAGGTAATTTTACTCTTTAGTGTCTAATATGTTACATCTTTTCTGCTTTCCCTGCAAGCACTAATGGAAAATGGGAGACTGTTTTTTAGATGTGCTTACTGGTATTGTATTTTTATGCATATTTCCTGTTTACAGAACCTGGCTGCTTTATTTTGAAGGGAGAGTGTAGAAAAGGCAGTTTTGAGCCCTTTTTGAGAATCCAGTCCTATTTCAGTTAACATTAAAGCACATCCTTTGGTGCATTTACGCTGAGTCATTCCTACAGCACCCAGCATAGGTACTCAGTTTAAGCTTTCCATGAATGAAGGTCAAGCTAGCCATGAGGAATTTGGTATATCTGCTATGCTGATTGCACTAGGACTGTAGTGTCAAGCCCAGCTCAAGTAACAACAGCAGGGAGACAATGATAAACCCTAATTTTGGGGTTATTAACAAATCTGCTGTGGACAGTTCCATAGGGAGATGGGTTTTATGTCACCTCTCAGATTCATTCTTACCATGAGTCCGAGCTAGCTGCCCAAGCTCTTCTTGTAGCTAGCAGAGAGGAGGGGGCTCTTTTAGGTTCATCAAACCTCTGTTAGTGTGCATCAGAAATGTCCATTTCTACCAGCAGGCATCACAGGGAGCTAATGGGGACTAGGTGGGACACTGCAACTGCATTCGGACAGAAGAGTCCTTTCCCAAAAGTTATTGGTATGAACTTACTCCACAGTGCATCAGTCTATCAAATCCCAAGGAGAAGTCCTCTACTACAAACCCACCCATTCCAGCTTCTGCTTGACTTCCCTGGGAGGCTCAAAGTTATGCACAGATGCTTTGATCTAATGCACAAGTGTTGTGCTTCAAGACCTATATAAAAGGACAGAGACAAGATGGGAGCAAGAAAGGCTGCAGAAATCAGGCCACAGTCTGTTTTCCCATGGCCAAAATGAGGGATTGAGTTTCTGAGCAGCTCTATTCCAGCTCATCCTCATGGCAAAAGTTGATTACTACATTGCAGGCTTCTGCAAAAGGAAGCAAATAGCTTGTCACAAACAATCAAGAAAGCTCACTAAAACAGTGATGTTTGCCCAGACCAAAATGAGCTTATTTCAATGTTTGTCATGTAGTTTGAACATTAGAACAAACACTAAAAGTGAATGGCTTGTCTACAATCCACTCTCCTATTAAAATCCAAGCTTCAACTTATATAACTCAACTTATTATTCATTATTAGTACTCATGTGGGAGCCATTTATAGTCTTTATTGACCAGTGATGGTGGTTGCGTAAACGTGAGATCAATATCACTGGTATTACGCTAACATGATATTTGGGATCCCAGCAAGTTTCCAGGTCTAATTATTGTACTGGATGACTGAAGTGCCCAATTCACTCTGCCATGTCTGTCATTTCTACTCAGATTTCTCAGAAAAGTTGATTAAATATATCTGTATTATCAGAGACAAACTAGTACAGTACTGCGTATTTAGCCAAGTGTTCACTGAGGTCAATAGCTGGGGAGGGCTTACCCCAGTCCATAAAACCCTCCCCTGCCATAAAATAGACAGTCATCTCTCTGAAGAGGGCCTACAGGGATGCTGGAGAGGGACTCTTCACCAGGGACTGGAGTGATAGGACAAGGGGTAATGGGTTTAAGCTGGAACAGGGGAAGTTCAGGTTGGATATAAGGAAGAAGTTCTTTACTGTGTTGGTGGTGAGGCCCTGGAACAGATTGCCCAGAGAAGCTGTGAATGCTCCATTCCTGGCAGTGTTCAAGGCCAGGTTGGACAGAGCCTTGGGTGACATGGTCTAGTGTGAGATGACCCTGCCAATGGTAGGGGGTTGGAACTGGATGGTGTTAAGGTCCTTTCCAACCCAAACCATTCTATGATTCTATGACATTGTGACTTTGTGTCAAGACTGTTAATGCTGAATTTTTTGTTTATAATTCGCATTTTTATTCAGAATTCCTACATCAGTGGTGTGTCAGGGTTTGGGACCCATTTCTTCATGACAGGAAAGAGATGTTTAGAGTCTGGAGCCTCGGGAAATGTGGGCAAATTGGGATATTAGACACTGAGTAGCATGGTGATGGGAAAGAAATGGCTCATTCCCATGAGCTGGTTAAGCATTGCTTTGGGTATTGAAGTTTAACCAGCCCTACTCCTTTTTCCTGTTTTTTTCATTGAAGACAATGACAAGGAGGTCAGTTGAACACACAGTCATGAGTATCTCAGTCAGAGCTAACTAAGCATTTAGGAATAGACATAATTTTTGCAACTACATCACTTGCGATGTAGTAAGAATAATGAATCCAGCTGTTCCGTCTCACGCACACACATTTAGAACTGTTGGCTTAAATGTTAATGAATGAGCTGAGGCTTTTTTGGCAGAAACTCCCAGCCCTGGAGCCAATGAGTTTGAGACTCATCAAAATAATGAAAGCGAACTGTAGGTGATGGGTTTTTGTTTTGCTTCAATCTATCAGATGAATAAAAGCAGTGCTGGCAGCCAGAGATTGATCTCAATGGTGTAACTAAAATTAGTCATTCCAGCTGGAAATTGTGACAACGCGAGTGTCTGCCACTTGGAAAGCGAGTGTCTTGGTTGTCTTTATATTCCTTTTTGATTTATGACTCCCCCTTTTACTTGGGCCATATTCTAGCAGCAACAAACAATTGCCCCATGACAAGAATTTAGTGTGTAGACACTATAAGGTCTCCCACCCTGATTGGGATCTGGCTGAAGGAGCTTTGCACGGAGGAAGGCACAACTACCATCTTTCCTGCAGTTGTAGGCAATCATCTCAGGAGCATCATGCATTAGAAATTACCTTATTTGAAGGAGTCAAAGCCATTTTGGAAAACAAAAACACATTGTAAAACAGTTGTCAGCGGGGGATAGCTATATACCAGCCTTGTGGATAGGACTCATGCCTGAGATGTGGAAAATGTGTGTAGGCTGTGAATCATTAGAGGTTGGAAAAGACCAATTATATCCTCAGCTGTGGCCACAAGCAGATGTGTCTGGGTGCTTTGGGAGCCCTAAGAAGCATCAGTGATTGATAGTATGGGATAGGCAGTGCAGGAACATGGGTGCTCTAAGACCAGGTAACCCAAATTCCACCTGCATCCCAGGTGAAGTGCAGCATCACTGATACAAGCATCTCCTTGAGTCATTATTTCAATGAAAAGCTAAACTTCTAGGTAAGACACACAACATTTACCACAGAAGCCATGCCAGCCTTCCTTTCTTTCTGCCTTGTTCTTTCTTTCTGCACACGCTTTTCTCTCCTTTCAGAGGTTGTTCCTATGTGAGTCCCTCTTTGTTCTGTCAATGGCCATGATCCATCATCTCACTTGATTTTTTCCCTTCTCTGTGCAGTTCTTTCTCTTTCTGACCTCTTTGCTTCCCGCAGTAGCTCAGAGCCTGAAACCTCTGACAACAGATTGGCAGCTATGTTTGAAGGGCTTTGTAAACCCCCAGGTCTCAAATAGTGCAGCACAGAGGTGAAAAGGTGGTGGGTATTTTGCTGATGTCTGGGATTATTCTGACTCTCTGCAAGTCATGTAGGGCTTGTGTATCCTTACCTATTTGTAGAGCCTGCACTGAGATCTAGTAGCAGCTTCAGAGAACACTGAGATTTCCATGGATGGAGGAAGTGAGCATTACCTGGTCCCTTCTTGCTCACTCTCTCCAGGCTGTGTTAGGGCAGAAGCACACACAGGCTTCACTATTCTGCATTCTTGAAGGAGGCAGCTTTTAGGAGATGTCTTGGGTAACATCTCCAGCAAATAACCCAGTGCTGGGATGGGAGGAATGAGGAAGAGAGATATTGAAGTCCAAGAGAGCAGTTTCTCATTCAGCCCTCAGCTTTCCTTTTTAATTGCAACATGTAGGCACCACACAGAGGCACATAGCAAGTTAATAAGCATAATCTACTAAAATAACTTGTGTGGCTCCATAATGCTTTAAAGGAGGGTTTTCCTTCTCTTCCTCCGCAGAGACTTGAAGCTAGACAATGTCCTCTTGGACAACGAGGGGCACATCAAAATCGCTGACTTTGGGATGTGCAAGGAGAACATGTTTGGAGATGCAAAGACAAGCACTTTCTGTGGGACTCCTGACTATATCGCTCCTGAGGTAGGTGTGGAGTCCAAGGGAGGTCAGCAAGATGCTGTGGGACAGAGAACATAGCCTGCTTTTGAGCAGTTCCAGGTTGGAAAGTGGATTTCAGTTTGACTCAGAGTCCTTGTTGCTGTCTGGCATTGCATATTTGTGTGGCTTATTCATGTTTTGTGCAAATGGGTCTGGGAAGCAAGTGGTGCTTGACTTACCCAAGAAACAGAATGCTTAATGGAAATCCAGTTTGGGCCATGGCAGAAGAAGCTCCAAAAGGTAGGTCCTGCAATTTAGGGACAGAAGCAGCATGAGGAATGGGAATCATGTTCCCTAGCAAGCTAACAGTAGGAGCCTTCCATGGCTGTAGAGGCTCCGTGATAGCTGGTAGGGAGCTGCGGGCACTTCTAAGGCATGATGTTCATCATAACCTGAGAGATAAAATAAAGAGAGGTGGGACAGAACGGCTGCCTGGACCTGATTCTCCCTCATTGATTGACCACCTTTCAGATAAAGAGAGGCTGCATCCATGATAAATATTCCCTCTGGGATATGCTCTGATGCTTGAATTGGGATAACACCCATAAGCTTGGACTTCTTTCTCACTCAGACAGGTTCTCAGCTGGCTGCAAACACAGCCTCTACTGCGAGCGTCCTCACAGAGCTGAATAAGACACTATATGCTCTGAAAAGGCTCTGCCGTCAGAGGCGTAACCTTAAAACTGAGCACAGGCTTGAAGATCTGCCTAAACCAAAAACAACCAATAGCTGCTTGTAGAAGGGATGGAGATGCTTGGAGACATAAACATGAGATTGACCGAACATCCTGATTTCCCCCTCTAAATAACAGCAGTCAGAGGTAGAGGCATTGCTCACTGGAGGACAAGTGGGACCTGACTTCCTGACTCTGGGCTCTGGATTACCTGCTTCTTTGTTTTACCTGTGCATGGTGCCAGAGCACCTCATGTCACTGCAGGAATCCATCCCTGGAGCACAACTTGCCTCCTGGTGAAGGAGTCTCTAAACCTAGACGTTATGGAGTTGTATCAAGGCCGGGCTGTGCCTGAGCTAAGAAGGGGAAGGCAGAGCTTGTAGCTTGTGTAAAGGTCCCACTCTGTTTCCTTGTTTCAGGAAGGCTGGGGCTTGCATGGAGTCAGTCTCCAAGCTCCACGCAAAAGCATACCAATAGTTCCTCTTCTCCTTCTGCTATCTACTGATACCTGCTGGAGAAAAGCTGAACTTGGGCTCTATGTGCCCATGCAATAAAACTGGGTAGTCACAGACCCCACCTTGCCCATAGCAAGGTCCTTTGCCCTTCCCCTTATTCCTTTCCACAATTCCACAGACAGAAACTTGTTCTTTTTTTTTCTTCTGGTAAATTTAGATCTTTTGGACTAGATCCCTCCAGAAAAAACTTCCTTAACCTGGTGACTTCACACAATGATAGATCTTATTACGGAGAGGCTTTGACTAATTAGGTGGCAAATTTGGGCCAAAGAAAACATTTTTCACCTCAGAGAAGAACCTACGAGTCACCCATGCATCATGTCTGACATCACTCTGAAATCCATTTATTTGCCTTTCAAGATCTCATTTCCTGATGTTAGTGTTTTCATGATGGATATTGGTACGTTTCAAATAGCTTTTAAAGCTTTTGGTTTTTTCTCCCTCTACTATAATTCATTGATCTTTTGCTGTGCACCAAGGGCATGATTCTGATTTAGGCTGCACCACTGCTGACATGAAGGCTGGTGTCTTCAAATCAATTGGATTTGTATTACCTAAGAGCGGGCATAAGCGTGCTCTGCAATCAAGTTTCAATTGTCTTTTATTCCACTTCACTATGCTTTTATTTAAGAATAAAACAGCTATTTTCTGATCCTAAAGAAGAAGAAAAGAGAGAGACAAGTGATAATCCATTATCTGTGATTTTACTTCATAGGAAAGAGAAAGACTAAAACAGCGCAGAGTTTTGTTTCTGCACCATCATTTATTTTAGAGATTCAGTGGATGCATATAAAACATTTTACCTTTAAATGGAAAGCTCTGCTGGAGTTTATGGATCATCTCTCCTGCTCGAGGCAGGAGCACTGGGCTTATTGACAGTGTTCCAATGCAGCTGCAAGCACTGTAATCTGTTACAGACCCAGCACCTTGCCTACAGCCACGCGCATGAGGGGGCTGTGGGTCAGTACACAGGCAGTTCTTCTATTTCAAAAAAGATATGACCAAAAACCACTTAAACTGAAATGAAATTGCTGAGTTTATTTTTTGTTTTCAGAGAATTGTGAAGCCAATAAATCTTTCCTTTGCCATAAAACATTAATTTCAATTTCCAGACACTTTATGCTTTAAGAAGTAAAGCCTTCTGAAAATAATGTGTCTTTTTAGAATCATAGAATTGTAGAATGGTTTGGGTTGAAAAGGACCTTAAGATCATCCAGTTCCAACCCCCTGGGCAGGGGAGCCTCACACTAAACCATGTTGCCCAAGGCTCTGTCCAACCTGGCCTTGAACACTGCCAGGGTTGGAGCGTTTACCACATCTTTGGGCACCCTGTTCCAGCACCTCAGCACCCTCACTGTGAAGAACTTCTTCCATAGATCTAACCTGAACTTCCCCTGTTGTAGTTTAAACTCATGTCAGATGAGAAAATTGTCTAGGTTCCTTGATAACCAAAAGAGACAAATATGGGGTTGTATTTTACAGCAGGTAGGTACAGCTCATGGCAAGGGGGTTGGAACTAGATGATCTTAAGGTCCTTTCCAACCCTAACTATTCTATGATTCTATTATTTAGCTGGATGTCTAAAACTGGACTAATTCTCTCCTTGACTGTAAGAGGAGCTAACAACAAGTGGTTAAGCTCTAAATATCTCCATAATGCATATCTAAAGGCATCTGAGATTACTTTGACTTCCCCAGAGAGGAAGTTTGAGAAGTTAGTGGTGTCTGGCCAATTTTGTAGGGGAAAAAAGTGCCACATCCCTTCTTAGGAGAGGTCATCACTCCAGTTGGCTTCCCCCTGGTCCCACACACTGGATGTAGCCCTCACTTTATAGCTAACACAGAAAGGAACAAGCCAGTGGACCGACTGAGGACAAATTCCCATTCCTCCACTCAATTGGTCTCAAGAGAACAGATCAGCAACCACTTTCTCATGTTTTTCCTGGGGCAGCTTTTGCTGGGGTAGGTTCACACCATTTCTAGTGACTGATAGTCCTGAAGTACCCTTACACTTCCACATCTGTGATTTTAAAACAGAGTGAATTAAGTCAGTCCCAAAATGCTAATGCTTCACCATTTGTCTTCTTGGACTTCACAAACTGATTGGAACCCTTGGGATAACTTGGAGAGCAGGTTAAAGATGTCTTGTCTCACTTCTTATGTTTGAGATCTCCCTGCTAGCCAAGGATTTGTTCAAGTAACTTAAGAGGTACATTCAACCTGTTGTCTGCAGTGTGAAGGACTGTTTAGGTAGCCAGGGGTGGCTGTGACTTGGATGGATTTCCTTGAATCCCAGCCTTTGCACCACGGGTAGATGCTCTGGCTCATGTGCAGGCAGAGGGAAGCACCTCTGCTATCCCACTCAGTGCAAAGTCAGTTGGAAGGTCAGGATCTGGCCCCCCTTTTGAAGCTGAAATGCTCCTGACAGACACTTCGCATCTGTCGTTGTCACTCCTCTCTTTGGATAGATACTGCTGGGGCAGAAGTACAACACCTCCGTTGACTGGTGGTCCTTTGGTGTCCTCCTGTATGAAATGCTTATTGGCCAATCTCCTTTCCATGGCCAAGATGAAGAGGAGCTTTTCCAGTCTATCCGCATGGATAACCCATTCTACCCTCGCTGGCTTGACAAGGATGCAAAGGACATTTTGCTGAAGGTAAGTATTACCACACATAGAATGAAAGTCTTTTTGCCACAATTGTCATCTTTGATTGTGCATCTTCAGCTGTTATTCAGAGAAACACATTTAGTGTGATAGACCAAGAAAGAGTCGTTCTATTGTCTGTGTCAAAGCACACCTGGCCTAAGTCATGAGGCCACCTCTGTGTCTTCTTTCTCCTGAGTTGTGATGATGCCTACCCCATAGAATATGTAGGATCACAGGGTATCAGATACCAGCAGAAATAAGTTTCTTTGCAGAGGAATCCCTAAGGTGCAAAGCATGTTAAATCCTGGAAAAGATACTCTGCCAGGCTTCAAACTAAGTGTTACAGTGACTTTCTTGATAACTTTGCCTTTGAAGCAGTTCTTGTGCCTTAGATATGAGTATATCTAGGGAGGATTGCTTCGGTGTTGAGCTTGATTTTCACTAGAGGATATTTTGCACCTTTGCACTGAGCTAAAGAGCACGAAAACGAAGCCTGAGCTGTGTCCCGAAGTGGTAGAGCTGCTCAAGCTTGTAGCACCATCTCATCTGATTTTTGACCCTTTGGATCTCCTACATAGCAATGCATAGTGTCCTTTCTGAGTAGAGCACTCTTCTGTTTCCCTATAATGGGCATCCTCCTCATCTTTTAGGTTCCCTTACATTAATGGACTGATTTTTTTCATTGCCTCCTTCTCAGCTCCATGCCATTCAGCCCTGTAGCCTTTCTGGCTTGGGATGCAAGTCATTCTAGAGTTGCAAAATAGAAATGCAGTTAAGTCACAACTGCTCTAACAAGTTCCCTCCCCTCAGTTGGGCTTTGGACTGATGTTGAACACGATCTAAGCTAAGGCATTGTAACTCAAAAGGGAGCATAGTAAGAGAGCATGTACAGAGGGTTATAATGGCTCAGCTAATGTGGGGTAACCCATTCCTCACAAGGTTTTGGTCATATTTGACCTACAGTCCCTACCTTCATTTCTGCATTTACATAGTGACAGGACAACATACAGCATTCCATTACAAGAAAATGAAGAACAGGAGATTATTTTAGCATGTGTGCTGTGCACAGCAGGGCTCTGAGGTTTAGGTATCACTATAAAATGATAATGAAAACAATCAAAAGCAGTTTTCCAGGAAGATATTTGGAATGTCTATTTCTGGGACATACACTACCATTTTTCTGCACAAACGACCTGTACTTCTGTCAGGATTAGAGATAGTAATCACCTCTGTAGCAATCAATAAACTTCCTTGCTTAGGAAAAAAAAACTAAAAACCTCCATTATGGGCTATTCTCAATGCCACTGACTCTGGATAATCAAATATTACACCCTGCTTAGTGCCTGTATTATCAGCACAGATTTTAACCTATGGAATCTGCACTGCTGTGTATCGGTTGCCTGTAGGACACGTCAGTTTTGGTGAGGCTTTGCCCACAGTGTTAACAAATACCCAATGTTTGGGGTTTCTTCTCTAACAGGCCCTCAATGGTCCATACAACTGGTTCTTTTGCTGCCACTTTTGGCATTAGTCATTTCTATTTGTTCTTTGCTGAGTGGTATCTGTTGTATGCTCACTGTTGGCCAAATAGAGTAGCAAGAAACTTCTACTGTATGTAACCCAACTCCATCTCGAGGTGAACTCCAATGGTAAAGTGCTTTTGAAGATCTGCCCTTACGTCTGCAGTAGGACATACTGGCTGTGTCCAGGTCCCCTGCTATCAAGTGTTGCCACTATTCCTCTCCATTGACTTCAGAGGGATCTAGAATCTGTCACTCTATGGGCCAGCTGCAGATGTAAAGCTGACTTTTAAACCACTCATACCCACCATTACAGCAGTACTTCAACACTGCATCCTGCTCACAAACATTGAGAGTAGCTCTGAAGCATTTAGCTCTCCTGAAACTCTCCCCCAAAACCACTTCGCTGCTTCCAGAGCCAAATGACTCCTGTATCACCATAAAAACATCTATGGCAAAACAGGCTGTGTTTACACTGAACTGAAGAGTGGGCTCACACCTGCATGTGGCTGATGGTGAGAAGATATGCTCCACTTCTAGCTTTTTGCTGTCTTCAGCAGAATTAGTCGTGCACAGGACTTGTAGCCTGCAGTGTGCAGCAAACACAAGCCAGCTATCTGAACTGGGAGTCTTTTGACAAAGTAGATATTGTCAGCATCCGAGCTGCTCAGTGGATGGAAGCAAGCGCTTCCAGGGTGACTTTTATCTCGTCTTTAAGCATGTAAAGGAGGTCAGATGATTTACACCTAAGATGACTTTTGGTCTATTAAATATAAAGGGTCAAATACTGACAGTCCGGGTGCACAAGGGTATAGGAGATGAATGCAAGCCCACATAGTATTTGTCTCCAATTATGCTTATATTTAAAATCTTTCTGATAACAAGAAATTGTGCAAACAAACATTTACAAATGCAGTATTTCACCTCTGTAGTTGCCTATTTGCATGATAAGACACATGTATTGTTGCCGCTGTAGCAAATTGTCCTCTTTCTCCTGCAAAGGGAAAATAGGACCAAGATCTCTCAGTTTTGGCATGTTCAGCTTAGAATCCAAACTGGTTCCCTAATCAGAAATGTAGTAAGGTTGAAGAGTCTTCCCACTCTCACCAACCATCTTCAGTTTGAAGTCTGAGACCCTGTCTGGTAGAACTGTCCTAATGAATACACTGTAATTGATAAAAGACTAAGTTAAATCTCCCTCTTCAACATTCTAGCTTTTTGTGAGAGAACCTGAGAGGAGGCTGGGAGCAAGAGGGAACATCCGCCAGCATGCCTTCTTCCAGGAGATAAACTGGGAAGCTTTAGAAGAAAGAAGGATGGAGCCTCCTTTCAAACCGAGAGTGGTAAAGATGCTTCTTCCAGTTCCACCCATCTCATTTATTTCTGTCCTAAATCATTCATTCCCCAAATATTGAAATCCTCCACCACGTGGCAGGACACACAGTATTGTTATAAACTATCTATTTAGGGACACTGTCCAAAATCTTCAGGTATGGTTCTTTAACATCAGAGACCTCAGACCAAATCCTGTTTAGAGTCACAGAATCAGCATTTTAAAGGTGGATAAATGCCTGCTTTACATTGGAACTTACAGTTTTAGTCACCAAGTGAAGGTTTTCAAAATGCCCTCAGACTTTCAGGGTTGTCTTCTGGAGTTGCCCTTGCAGGTGTCTAAAAGTTGATGGAGGACCTTGATCTTGGACAGTCAGAAAGGAAATGTTGATTCTTACTAAAATGACCAAATGCAGATTAAATTGTTCACAGGCTGTTGGTATGTAGTGTACTTCAGATACAGGCAGCTGAACCATCTACAATTTGGATCTACTACAGTCTTACTCAGTATATGTTTGTCTGTTGGCTGGCCTGCCTGACCTGATCATCATGACTACTATTATGTGATGGCTATAAGCACAAGTCTGGCATGCCCACACCTGAGAAACCATAAATTACTCATCATCATCTCAGTTACCATAGCAGGGGGCTGGATGCCTCTTTAAACACCTTCCCTTAACCACATGAGTACAGCCCGTTCTGTCAGGATTATCTTTCATTGCAGTGCAGGAGGTAAAGAAGGAAAAGCAGTTCAGGTAACAAGGTGGTTGGCTAAGTCAGGATCCTCCTGACTATTAATAACAGTCCTATTAAACTATTAAATTCCTATTAATAACAATAATATAATTTAATTTGACAAGTGCATCATGCTTTCTTTTTATAGTCCTTCACAAGTATTATTTAACTGATGGGCCTAGTGTGCTGTGTTACAAAGCTTCAGCATCCCTGCCAGCAGAATTTATGGATCACAGGCTCAGTGCCTCCTACATAATACTTATTCCCATTACTACTTCAATAGGAGGGTAATAAGCAAGTGATTAGCACTGGTTGCTGGATATTAAGAGCTCAGACAGAAGTTGACAGGTTGCCCAGAGAAGCTGTGGCTGCCCCATCCCTGGCAGTGTTCAAGGCCAGGTTGGACACAGGGGCTTGGAGCAACCTGCTCTAGTGGAAGGTGTCCCTGCCCATGACAGGGGGTTGGAGCTGGATGAGCTTTGAGGTCCCTACAAACACAAACCATTCTATGATTCTGTGAAGTTCACTGCAGTTTGACATGTTACTGTGCATCATTTGGGCTGGAGCAACTAATCATTGTGTAAAAAGCCAAGAGCATATGCATTGCAGGTTCCCTGGCTGAGCTGAGCTTGCTCCCAGTTAGTTAAGCTGAGTCTATAGGAAGCAGCCTGATAGGGCCAGTCCCATTGAAATGAAGATCAGAATATTAGTGGTTTGACATGATTTTTTGCTTCCTTTTCTTAAAGAAATCTCCAAGTGACTGCAGCAACTTCGACAAGGAGTTTCTAAATGAAAAACCAAGACTGTCCTGTGCCGACAGAGCACTGATCAACAGCATGGACCAAAATATGTTCAGCAACTTTTCTTTTGTGAACCCAAAAATGGAGAAAATATTGTGCTGAGATCTGCCTTACATTAAAGAGAAAGGATTCTCTTTAATGGTAAACACTTTGTCACATGAAGACTCTGCATTGTGGTTTTTATCACGAACCTTGCAGAAAAAAGCACCTCAGAGAAAGTTTATACCATGCCTGGAGGCTTCCAGCTTATTCCAGTCTGTAGCAGATGCCAGCCACTCTTCATGATTGATGAAGTTACTTTGTGGTATCGTTTGGTCTCTCTTTTCTCAGTGTTCTTGAAGTTGAGAGCATCTGAAAATGAAGAGGTGCCAAAACCTGTTCCTCACTACTTGTACACACTGCCAGTGGATTTCTCTGTAAGAAAAAACAACTGTATTTGAGTTTCTGGTGATGTCAGTGCCCATTTCTGGGATTCTCACCTAAACCAACCTTCTTCTGAAGGACAAGTTGCATGAAGGTATCTGGGAAGACTTTGGGATGGATATTTTGGTAACCTCTACTTGTACATGTGTGGAATTGTGCATGTATGCACAGTTTTAAGAAGCAGTTTTACTCTCTATACAAATAATGTTTGTAAGGGTTAGGGTTCAACTTCTCTCTGCTGGGACAAAGGCTCTTCAAGTGCCCGTTCCAGCATTTGTACATCTCAATCACAGGCACTGGAGCTAAGGACTTAACCCCAAAGGAAGACTGTGACCGTGGCAAGTATCAAGATCAATGCAGAAAGCACTTGAGCAGGAAGGGTGAGAAACTGCAGTCCATCAGAAAGCCTCAAGAAGCCCTGTTCTAAAGCTTTAACTGTCCTTGCACATACCAGACTCAGAGCAAAATCTGCACTGGGCTTTCTGGAGTTTTATCCTAAGGGTGGAAGAGGTTTCCTCAAACCATTGTTTAAGTGTTGTAAAACTGGCCTTCCTGTCGCAGCAGTGGCTTGTGAGGTAGTAATCTTCTTCTTGAAAGGTAGCAATCAGCCCTTCCAAAGGCTGGTATACTTTCTTTTGCCCCGTATGATGTTCGAGCTTTTTGGCACGTATGGTGGATATAGGCCAACAAGCTACCCAACAGTAATAAGGCAGGACAGCACATCAGTGAGGGTGGTTTTGTTCTTCACCTCGTGGCATTTTGCTGTGTGTTCTATCCCTTTGCAGTCTGTGGAAATGTAGATGAGTTTTAAATAGTCTTTTCTGTGATCCTTTTATCATTGGATCCTTTTAAACAAAGATGTGCTGTTTTCTGAGGTTGGAGGATTGTAGAACTGCCCAGTTACTGCTTGTCACTGGCATAACAGTTAAACACTGGGTCAAATTAAGTCAAAGCCCAAAGAGAGGATTCTGTAATAGCTTAGACCTAGGCAGTCACCCAAGTTGTTAGGCTCTAATTGAAGTGCATAGATTTGGAGCTTCATTGCACCAACCCCTTCAGTCCATGGAGAATAGAAGTTCTAGAAGGTGAATCACCCCAAAATCAGACTCCTCTCAGAGATGCCTTTCAGACCAGGCTGTCAATTTGGAGCTCCCACCAGGATGAATGCAGCCTTGCAGGCAGTGCTGGGATATCACGGCCAGTGTCTGCAAGCATTGAACCCTTCAGGACCAAGAGCAGAAGCGCCTAACATTGACAAGAAGGTTTCAGTCCAGTGACTCTCATGAAATCCTTACTTGTGCTGTGTGAAACTCAGGAGGCATCTGTGCTCACAGTTCGTGCAGCTGGTCACCGTGCTTAGTTAGAATGGTTAACGTGCATTTTTAAATGCCAGTGCTGTTTGTACAGTTCAATAAAACGTTGTGTACAATTGCAAAATGGGCATTGAAGTGATTAAATAGGGACAAAGAAGAGAGGTGCTTATAAAAGCCATTGAAATGGCGCTGCGCTTTCTCGGGAATGTTGCTCGAGGGAATTTCAACCCATAAATACACACGATCAGCAAGAATTCGAGCAACTGTAACTACTTCACAGATCAGCATCTAAAACAAGGATTTGGTGCTTGTAAACATACAAAGAAGAGAGTAACGTTCCTTTTTACTACCAGAAGTTGATACGGCTGTAAATGGGGTGTAGTATCTCAAAGGGGTTGCAGAGCCCAGTGTGCAGAAGTCATTACTGTTAGAGGGCAATTCAGACCATCTTCCTTTGACACTTGAATGAGGCTGGATCAGCCAAGTCCTGGAAGGGCCTGATTCTATTCACTTGCTATGGATGGAGTCTGGATGGCCTGAAGCAGAGTAGAGACTTGTATTTCAAAGCATTTGGAGACTGGCAGTATCCCAATCTAAATAGCTGTTAGGGATGTTTCCTTTACAACTGCACAGTGGTTTGTGCTTGACATCAATGCAGGGACACCCCAAAAGCAAAGACTGAGGAAGGAGGGTGCTGAATCACCTCTTGTGGTTAAGTAACTGAGGAGCAACAGGGTTTAACACCTCTCCGACCAGAAGCAGGGCTCTCTGCACCCTAGTTGTGGCCCCATATGGATAAAGCAGCCAAACATAAGAGTGGCTTGTAAAGGAGGACGTTTGAGTAACTGCTAGAGCAGAGTGTTAGGCTTACTGTAGGGCTTTTGATGTAAACCACAAGAAGAAGTGCCTGCTTCTGTGCAAAGTGTCTTCAGCTTAAAAACCCAATCAGCCCATTGAGGATGATGGGGGAGGGAGATGGGAACGTGCATGCTGTGTGTCTCACTGGTGCCACAGCCTGAAAACCCTCCCAGCTGTGCTTGTGGTGGGGGAAGAGTGACGTGGTAAGCAGCAAGCGTCTTCCTGTGGTGGCGGCGATTGAGAGATAGGAACTGGTGAGGGCTGAAAGCCAAACACCAGCACGGAAATGAGCAGCAGCCTGGGTACTCGCAGAGATGCTCCTTTGCCTTGGCTAAACCCCTCCATGCCCTTCTTGTCTTTTCTTCTTATTTTCTTCTTTCCCTTCCTCCATTAAAAGTTCATTTTATGATATGGTAGATGAGACTTGCCAGGTTTGGTTTATTCATTTAAGGAGGTGATCCTGCCCTCTCTGCTTGGAACCCACTTGGAACCCACTGCACTGTGTGCAGTTCTGGTACTCTCAGCATACGAAGGACATGGAGCTATTGGAGCAAGTCAAGATGAGGCCACAGGGATGATCAGGGGCTGGAGCACCTCCCATTTGAAGCCAGGCTGAGAACATTGGGGCTGTTCAGCCTGGAGAAGAGAAGCTACGTGGAGACCTCAGAGCAGCTTCCAGTGTCTGAAGGGGGCTACAAGGATGATGGAGAGGGACCTTCATCAGGGACTGGAGTGACAGGACAAGGGGTGATGGGTTTAAACATAAACAGGAGATTTAGGTTAGATACAAGAAAGAAGTTCTTCCCTGTGAGGGTGGTTACCAGGCACATCTTGCAGTGGAGAGGTGTCGCCAGAAGTCCCTGTCTGCCAGTACAGCTCCATAAAGTGAATACTACAGGTAGGTATGCTCCTCCCTTTCCTATTGTATTTGTACCTTAGATATTTAAAACCCAAGTGAGACATCACAGCTGGGACCGAAGCTACTCTCACTCCAAGAGATGCCAGCTAAGCAAGTGCATTGCCTGCACCAGTTAAGATCATCATCAATATGTGGCCCAAAGCGTGCTTTGTGTCAGTGTGAAGACAATGGAGGTCTCAGTGCACACCACAGGAAGCCTTTCAACCTTCCTTGCTTACAAAGAAGTTTCATCTTTGCCATATCACAGCAGCCAAGACAGCACATGCAGAGCTGGTGAAACACAGGAATTAATGCGTTTCTGGCTCTTCTGTAACTGGCAGGGGCTGCAAGCCAGTGCTCCTCTACAGCTCAGTGACTGTACCTGACATGATAGGGTCTCTTCTGCTGTAACAGGCACGATGGAGTCCCTTATTCTCTATATTACCTTAGTGTTTACATACACAAGGATATGAAATAATTGAAAAATAAAAGTGAAACAAAGAAAAAGCAGTCATCGAGTTGTAGAAGATGAAACAAGCACAGAAAAGGAAAGCAGGGAAGAAAGGAGGGGTACAGGTTGATAAAATCTTATACAACATTTCCCTTCATTCAGTGGTTTCAGTTCTAACTCTGCTGTTTTTCTTCAAAGCCACCAATCTGGAGTTGCTTTTGTAGCTGAAGCAAAGGATTTTGGAGATTTGAGAGGATGAGACAGCCTGAGACTAGAACAGGTGAATGGCTCTAATCTGGCCTCTTGGGTAGCACAGAGCAGCCATCCTACCCTGCCATCTTCCCCAGAAATCCAAGTATTTCTGTCCTGAATCTGGATTCAGGTCCCAGTTCAGGTAGCTGAATTCAACTGACAATGGCATAGGAATGCAGTTTGAATGCTCGCTTTTAGCTACCTAACATACTGGGACATCCTGGGGTGTTTTCTGCTTTTGCCACTGGGTTGCAAAAATACCATCTCCTTGATTCCTGTCCTGAAAAGCAACAGAAACAGAGAGCCTTTTCCAAGAGGAAACCTGCCCCTGCTGAGCCTATGGCAGGTAGACTAGACCTATATGCATGTGGTAGCTGCTTGTGGGACATCTGCTGGCACTGAGCTACTGAAACAGCCCGAACTAGAGGCTGGCAATGACATCATGTTTTGACCCTTTAAAGGAAGAGCCTTGTAAGAAGAAACATCAGAAATTAGTCATCAACATGTTTCTTGTAGCTGCTGAAGAAACTTCATGAAGGAATTTCTCCATCTTCCTTGTACATCCTTATTAAGGGGGACCAGAGGATACTGCATTCCCATTCCCTTTGATAAGCATCTTCCCTTCTGCCATTCTAAAGCAGTGATAACCAGAGATGCTCAAAGCTCAGTATTTATGGTCTCTTGAGAACTGTCTTTGCTACCGATCTCCACAAGAACATTCAGTTTCGTTTTGAATCTCAGGATCTGGTGAGTCAAAAATTCAGAGCTCTGCCAGAAATCTCTGTCCACCTCCATGAAAGTGGTGCAGAAGCTCATTTCAAACCCTTAACACCTTTTGAGACTTCCTCAAAAGGCCAACAAGGCCTAGCTGATCTTTTGGTGGGGTTGAGTTGGGGCAAAACTGAACAATATTCAACACAACTTTGCAGAGAGACATGTCTTACGGGAAAGACAATCCTGTGGTTAAGGTGCTACTGAGTCTTTGTAGACCTAGATTTATTTCCAAGGTCTGCTATGCGTATCTCCTGTGGCCTGGTGCAAGCTGTCTTGTTATGCTTTGACTTTTCTTCCTCTATGAGCGTATGTA